CTTCTATTATATTGCCATTATAATCTGTTGTGCTACTACCCCACAGGATATTTTATGCGTTAAAGTCTCCACACCATATTTCTTTCCTGAGTATATTTCCAGTTAATTCTTTAAACATATCCTTTTCTATTGTTTTACATGGGTTGTAAAAATTTATTACTCTAAGATGACCAATACTTTTTAGATTGTATATTTCTATAATCACACTTTCATATTCTGAGTTGTTGGCAATTTCCTTATATGCTATTCCTTTTTTAATAAAAGTAGCACACCCTCCTCCTTTATTCCCGACAGTTCTGTCTTTCCTTACTGAATCGTAGCCCTGAATTTTAAATTCTCAAATGGGTTTTAACCATGTTTCCTGTATACATATTATGTCTGGAGCTACTTTTAATTCATATATAATTTTTTTAAGTTCTTGGCCATTAGCAATAATACTCTTAGCATTCCATTGTAGAATATGAAAGACCATCCTATTCCTTTCCTTGGCTGTTTCCTGATGATTCAACTGAATTTAACAGAGAATGAATCTGATCTGCTTGTAATTCTTTCATGTCCAAAAATTTTCCTGCTGCTGCTACTACTGTCTTTATTTTATCACTTTTCTTTTTCATCTGGATAGTTACGTTGATAATATGGCATATGAATGCCACAAACTTTTCTTTTTCTACAATCATTGATTTGTCATCTACTGTACATTTGTGAGAGCAAACATTGTATTGTTCTATTGGTGGTAATGGTGATGTGCTCTATTGGTTATTAGCACTTTGTTCCGAGTATCTCTGATCTATTTCAACATTTCTCATTTCTTTCGTTTCTAATTTTCTTACCCTCTTCAATGCTTCTGCGTATATTTTTTTTCCGGTTGTTTTAATTTGTTGTGCTTCTCTTGCTTCTCTCTGAACTATACATCCCCCATATGCAGCACTGTGCTCTCCTCCACAATTACAGCATTTAACCTTCAAATCTTTTTCACATTTACCATACTCATGTGGACCTCCACATCTTGCACACCTTATTTT